AATGAATAAATATACATAATTTAAATAGATTCAACTCAGTTTATTTATATACCGTAAATCACATCACATGTTATCTCAAGGCAGTATACAGAGACCACAGATCAGATCACACAGTCCGATTGATAAAATGCTTCTCATGAAAATCAAATGATTTCATTGAGTCATTGGCATTGCAGGGAACCTCCTGGAATAGCATCTAGCAAGATTAGATGTTTGCTTAAAGGTGGAGAGGAAAAGCTCCCTTTAAACAGGAAGAAACCTCCAGCAGAACCAGGCTCAGTGTGAGCGGCCGTCTGCCGAGGGGATTAAAGAACAGATAAGCAGGTATAGAAAAGGGACATAGAAGCACAGATCTATAAATGTTTTCATCTTACAAATGTAACGGATAACTAGATACACACTTGGATCTTTCTAGGAAAGCAACAGTTAAGTAGACAAGTTCAGAGACAGTTTTTATATAAGGGATGACGAAGAGTACATAAGGATAAAAAAAGCCCTGCCCATAGCTATGTCTAGGACAGAAGCATGAGTAAATTCTAAAAAACAGGACCAACTCTATAATCTATAACCAAAGGTGTTAATTCCAGAAACCCTATTGATTTTTTTTCTCCGAGATGCTGCCATAACCAAACATGAAAAGACCAGATGAAATTACTATGATGAGAAAAAACAGTACATAAAGGTAGGGGTTGAACTAAAATATACTGTCAGATGGGAGTATAGATAGAATGTGACAGAATTATGTAAAGTTGCCCCTATGTCTTCCAGCAGCCTACACTTTTAACAGCATGATTATAGACTTACAGTAGGACAACATGTGCAACTCTATATGCTTTATCAAAAAGGAAAGTTTTACACCTAGCTGACAGGGTGTGCACCTCCTGTGCTAAAACTTTTAGTTGGTTCTGCATGAGAGGAGCCTGATAACTAAAAAAAAATCTCCTCCCGTTACTTTTACATATTCTAGGAACCACATGAAAAGCTGCTGATGGAGAGTGAAGTTGTCTGTTGGGAACATAAGGAAGTGTCACATCTCGGTTTAAAGATGTATCTTAGTCTATTAAGTCTTTATATGTTGTTTTAAATTATATTATGGATCTAACAGGAATCCAATAAAGGCAATCAATATAAAGAGAAATATGATATGAAACCTCTGCTGATCTTCATTTTGGAAAAGGCTGAGTTGTCTCCAGTATTCAGAAGCTTATCACATCAGGTATGCAGCAGGTAAGCTGTGTCATTTCTTTTCGGATGCTCCACTTTCCAAGTCTCTGACATCTTGATGTTTCCTGTAAATGCACATGAACATGTTACAGAATGGTTGTCTTTGCAGCAACCGGGTTCAGAAATGACCAAAGGACCAACTTAACTTTGGCATTCAGAAGGTTCTTGTTCCTGTGGCATCCATTGCATTCATTCAAGGCATGGACTTTCTTTGATCCACACAAGAGAATGAGACAGGCATGAAGATGCTGCTTTGTCCCCAAGCACGGTGAATGGCAGGATTGTATCTCCCTGTGGTAGTGTCTTGTGAGAGGGGGGGTTTGCAGAAGTTTGGACAGGAGCGTCCAACAGTAGAGAAAACCTTTTTCCTCCTACACCAATAATCAAAGTTAATATCAGCTTGGACATTGGTCATTAATGATCCCAGCAGCCACCAACTGGGTGTCAGAGAACCCCAGAGTTCTTTACACTACATTCAGTCATTAACCCACTCTTTCACACACTACTGGGGCAAGCTGCATTGCAGCCACAGCTGCCCTGATGATCCTTGACAGAGGCAAGGCTGCCTGAGTTCATATGCTAGAAGCATATAGGTATATCATTTATATGTATAAGCTTATAACATCATCCAGTGTGGGTCCTTGGGCAAGACAATTAAGGATTTCTGCCTATCTCATGATATGAGAGGAAATAAACATAGAACCATATTGGCTTAAACATGGGTGAGTCAAATAAGGTCTGTGTCAAATGTTGAGGAACCAGGACACTATGATGATAAGTGGGCTACTAGAACAAGAAGACAATGGAAATAGGAATTTAATATGGCACTAATGGAATACTGCTACTCCAGTAATCCTAACCAGAGGGCTTTCTGAAAAGACTGTGGGAAATATGGATGCATCAGTACCCAGAGTCTGAACTAACAACTAAACACTTAGTAATTTAGTGTTCCAACATGTTATCAAGGTGATCCTGATCATGATCCACACCTACTGGCTAAAGAAGCTGATTTCTCTCCATCAACCCCTACAGTAGCAGACATTAAAAATTCCCATTCCCAGTCAAATGCCAGCCAAATGGCAACCCACTCTCCTTCAACTCCCAGCAAAATCCCCTCCAACTTCCAGCCACTGGAGTAACCCCCTCCTTCTCCTGGGCATGCATATTTCTTTACTCTGACTCCATCCTTTGACTGAATTACAGGGTCTGACCAGGAGATGGCCCTTCTCTTTAGAGCTTAATGTCTACAATTCATGACAAAAATAATTTTTAGTACAAAAACTGATGTTTAAAAAGGAATTGTGGGGGACCAGCCAAGGACCATCCAAGGACCCATCAAGGAAAGTGGGGACATTTTGAATGGCTACTACTGTAGCAGCACAAATGACCCAACAGCTGAAAAATGGGACCCACCCTAAGTTTAATTCAATTCAGTTTATTAATATTGCACCAATTAATAACACATATCATCTCAATGCACTTTACAAGTTCCTCTTGGATGAGCTTGCGGCGACGATTGTCACTGGCATTTTCGTTGACTTCTCAGCAGTCCCTCACACTAAGAACACATGCAGCAAGAGTGGACAGGAAACACTTCCTTTCAATGGGAAGAAACCTCAAGTAGAACTGGGCTCAGGGTGAATGACCTTCTGCCAAGACTAACTGGGTCCAAGGAGATTGAAAAAGACATACAAAAGAAGCAAATAAACAAATTAATTGTCATGATTCCTGGCACTAGAGTTGGTCCGATTCAAGATTCAACACAGTTGCCAGCTCCGCCCTGTTTCCAGTCAGCCTCCATCAGATTCACTTGCTTACCTGACTATATTATTAGCTCTCAGAATAGTAAGTGTGCCATAACTTTGCTCTCAGATTCTCCCCTGGATTATCTCTGAATCTTTGACACCCTGGCTTTGACTCAGATTACAAACTCTTTTTTTGTCTTTGTCTGCCTGTCTCTGCTGTCATGGATTTGACCCTGTATATTCCTCTGGACCAACAATTAACTGTCAAGAAAGATTCCTCCAAACCAGAGTCCAACGCTAGACGCATTTCACTCTGTTTCTGTCTGGTCACTCAACTGTCCAGGCTCCTTCCTGAAGATCCGGTTGCTGACTCTGGTGAATCCTTCCAACCTGTGGCAGTTTCATTTCCAATAAACTGCAAAAAGGCCTCTCGTTGTTTCTGGTTGAATTCTGGGTTTTCCTTTTTATAGTCATTACAAAGACAACTGTTAACTAGCTACACAGGTGGCACAGTCCAGGAAAGACATAGCCAGGCAGATGAGATTTGGGCCACTTCTCATGGGTTTAAAAAGAGCACAAAAAGTTAGTCATACTAAAAGTAACATAACCGCACTGAAAAACAGCCCCGGGCTCCATCATCTATTATCAGAGATATTGATGGCATCAGCAAAGCTAATATTTCAATCCAGGATGAAGTCACAGGCTAAAAGGAGCAGACTAGATGAAGCTACTATGACAAGAAAAAGCAGAGATAACATCGTTAGAGATGGAACTTAAAAATACTGCATAATGGGAGAATAAAGATTGAATGAAGCAGAATGATGAGAAGTGGTCCCTATTCCTCCAGCAGCCTAAGCATATAGCAGCATAAATATAGAAAATAGCTCAGGATGACCAAACTATTTAACTAAGGAGAAACATCTGTCCGAAATAAACTCTCCCTTCACCCGATTGGGCTGTTCATTATACCGACTTCCTTTTTCTACTCACTCAGTGACTAAACCTTCGGCATTAAATTATTTTCTGGATTTTCCAACGGAGGGAATCTAAGATAGGGGAAATGTGATCTTTCTTTTTTACTTTTCATCAGAACTCTGGCTGCAGCATTTTGGATCAACTAAAGGCTTTCAACTACAGTTTGTGGACTTCTTGATAGTAAATTATAATAGTCCAACCTTATAGTAACAAATGCATGAACTAGTTTCTCAGCATCACACCTTGGCAGGATATTTCAATGTTTTGCAATATTACAAAGATGAAAGAAGGATATTCTAGGAACCTGTTTGACATGCGATTTGAATGACAAGTCCACATCAATAAAAACACCAATGGGGGGAAAAGGTAAGGGACTTAGGGTAAGGGTCTCGGATAGGCTTTAGAAATGGTTTAGGAAGGAATGGAAGGCAATGAAAGTCTCCTCAAGGATACAAGGTGTGTATATGGTGTGAAATGAGTTTAGTTTAGACTGAGGTGTACACTAGCAATGGTTAGGTTTATTCTCATGGTTAAAGCACTGAAAGGCTTGAAAATGAAAATTAATGAAAGTCAGTTAAGGTCAACATATAGTTCACAATGTACAGCATATGGACAATGTGTGTCTGTTCATGATATGAAATAATGAGATAATGGCATTAATAAGAATATATACAAGAAAACAAAAAGGGTGATACACTGTATGTGTCTATTCTGTAAGTTTGTTCTATAACAATATTTGCAATGCATATTGATATGTTATATACGTTTTGCTTTAATTTAACTGTAAGTTATGAGGCATTTGTTTGTAGCACAGAAAACTGTCAATTTGTAGGGTGTACTTCGACTTTTTAGTCCTAATGTCTTTCAGGACATTAGACTGTATCAAAACTGACCTGAAACCAATTGTGTCTTTTTTTATGTCATCCTATTTAGTGAATTTCCGTGTTTTTGTTTTTGCATTAAAAATTTTGTTTTGTGTTGTGTTGTTTTTATGGTTGAGTTAAATGCTCAATCAAAATATATTTTCTACATATATTTCTCTTCTTTGTCATTCAGGTGCATGGAGTGTTGGTGGATTAGAAGTTTCCACGGGTAAAGTTTCCTCAATTGAAGCAATGAATGGCTCCACAGTTCTGCTGCCCTGCACTTACCAATCTTGCATTGGCATTAAAAACCTGTACTTCAACTGGAAGTATAATGACAATGGGACTTTATTAAAGGTAAAGATAAAAATCATATGTACAAATTATCATTAGAACAGCCTTCAAGTTTTAATTGAATTGCAGCTACAGATATATTTTTGGCAAAATAGTAGCCTTGAAAATGTTTCCACTGCTCCATGTTGTCGCCTTACGTTTAGATTTATAACTGAACTTGGCTTTGACAAGACCAATCCCTTAAACCATGCTTTGTTTTTGTTCTTTAGTTTTTTAGCCATAAGCAATTCTGCTAAAAAACATTTTATGTAAGAATTGTTTATATCCACAACCCAAACATGTCAAATTCTAATTTTAATTTCTAACTTTTATAATTTTTAATTGAACAATGCATTGTCTCAGTTAACACACATGAATTTGTAAAATTTAATTTCCACGTAAGGGAAAAGGTGTATACCATCAGAGCTATTTTCCTAGAAGAAAGTTTATTTTGTGCTACAGGAGCTGCCATTTTTGTAGACATCTCTGTGAAAATGCCAGAACGTCACTGTAAATCATTTAAAACCCTCTTTAGCATATGACGTGACATTTATTGTGTAGGATCCAACTTATAATAATGTGTTTGTTGGGATTTGGAATATTCGGTCACCTCATTGCTTAAGTCAAAATATTCTCAAATTTATACTAACAAAAACAGATTCTAATTTTTTTTTTTTACCATTTAGTTCATTTACATCAGCCATCAGTTATATATTGTATGTTAAATCCATCCATTATCTTAACTCACCTACCTTTGCAGGGTTGCAGGGCAGTCAGAGCTTATCTCCAGTGGCTATTTGCTGAGAGGTGGGGTATAGCCACTACATCAATATTAAATCTGTTTAGCCCAAGATAAAGTTCAGTTGTCCTACTGACAGTTTTAGATCTTGCCACTTTTACCTAAAGACATAAGAAAGATATCATAGTAAGCTGTCAATAAAGTTCCTTGGGATTCATGTGGCATGCATGAAAATTAACAGGACAAAAAAAAGAAAACAGTGGATTTACAATAAAACAAAGGATTTTATCATCAAACTGTGGAGAAGACAGGGAGTGGTTAAAAAGGTTTGAGTGAATGCGTATGGATGCTAAACTAAACTGCTTTTTTCCTTATTAATTTTTTTCAGTTTTATTATTTTTTTAATTTAAGTGTAAAGAAAAGATGTCATGTTATACATGGAATTTTTTTCAAATTTGTTCATCATTCCCTTTTTTTACTCCACAAAAATCTGGCATTTTCAAAGAGGTCCCTGCACTTTTGAGCATGTCTAAGTTGTAATGTGCAAGAAAAAGGGCCAATGCAACATATCAAGAGACACCGTTTATTTGAGGGTACTTGGAATTAAACAGGATAACCTATGCTTTGTGTCTAAGTAGATGCTTGTGTGTACAGCTGTGTGAAGCAGAGATTCCTATGGAGAGAGTGGAGCCAAAAGTCCACATTTACCATGAACGTGTAGAGTTTGTTGGCTCCTCTAAGACAAACAACATCTCCATCTTGTTGTGGAACATAACGTTTGAGGATGAAGGGGACTACATCTGTTTTGCCAGAAACCCAAAAGAGAAGAACCGCAACCACAGCGCTGTCTTCACACTTAGGGTGGTCGATCAAAGTATGTCACACAAGTAATTATATCTATACATATAAATTAAGTTGTACCCCATATTACATTTTTTTTTTTAAAGCTATTCATAATACAATTCTTTCACTCACTCTTTACAGTGAAGGAGGTTGACAATACATTGACGGTCATTATTGTGTCAGTTGTGGGAGGAGTCATTGGATTGGTTATCATCATTATGGTGATAAAGGCAGTGGTTCTTCATTTTCTACGCAAGGGTAATGAGAAGACGTGAGTATAACAATGACTGGAGTGCAACACCTTGCATATTTTCCCATTACGACCTCAAACTTGAGGTTTCAGTTCATTTTCCTTTGTTTTTTGTGTCTGACAAACAAATTAGCTCTTATTGTTGTGCAACACATCAGACCATCACACATCAAACGTACTGTGCATGCAATCTGCATTAAGGAATGGCACTTCTGAAAATGAGTTTAGTGGACAGACTATTATCACATGTAGTAACATGAACTTCCCTGCATTAAGAAAGAAAACTGGAGTCAACAACTATAAGTACAATAGTAGCAGCTCCTTAGAACCATCATGTTGGTAATGTTCAAGATTGACATAAATTTATTCATAAGAAGGTAATTAGATGGGTGTGCTTGACTCTGTAAACATAATTTTAACATGTGTGGCTCAGTAGAAGAGAGCTTTAGTTTGAGATGATGCTCTACATCTGGCCAGCTTCTGTTTTTACATTAGACAAACTGACCAATGCTCTAAGTCCTCATATACCAGCTTCTGTTTTTACATTGTACTGGGCTGATAGTAGGAGAAACTTTCCTGCACACTACGTTTTGTAAAAAGAAACAGAAAGCAAACAGCTTTTGTAGAAATGGAAGAGTTTTTTTATCCAAAAGGGCAAGTGTTTCTTCTCACAGCTCACAGTAAGCTCCAGAGAAGCTCCAGAGCGATTGGTATTGTCAAAGTTTCCAACAAGACAGAAAAAAGACATAAACTCAGATTTTTTATTTATCACTGTAAATAAAAAGGTAGCAAAATATAATCAAAAGGTCATTTAGTTGGCAACTGCAAGCCCCCCCCCCCAAAAAAAAAAAATCAAATCACAATCACAATAGTAAAAAAAAACATGTTCTACAAATTACTGTAGTGTGTAGAGAGTTTCAAAATAATACTTTTATCAAAATGTCTTAGGCTCCTTGTCTACCACCAGGGGGCGCTTGCAAACCACCAACCACCAGTACTATGTTTACTGCTTTAGAAGATTGGAGAAATGTGCAACTTATGCTTTACAAAACTGAATACATCATTATTTTTCATCAAGTGCATAATTTCCCTTCCACTTCACAATCATTAACCTCTTTGCTTTGGTCTGTCACATGACATCCTAACTACACTGAATGCTGGAATGTAACATGGTAAAATAATAAACAATTCAGGGCTGTACATCCGTATCCAAGGCATCATGTTAAGCACTTTGTTGATTCATTACTAATATCCTTCTTAACTGAATATTGATGGTAAATTGGATGATTATAAAAAAAAAGTTACTGCTAGTTTTAACTCTCTAAAAGAAAAAAGTCTTCTGTTCTCTTATTTTAAAAAACCTGGATAAGATATATACCTTAAAAAATGTTGGGGCATTATTTAAATTATTTTTACATTTTCAAAGCTGCCTTTATAGAAATTGATGTAGAATAGAAATATATAACTGAACTTCATTTATGATAGACATTTACAGCTAAATATAAGCATTATCAGCTTTTTTTTATGTGTGAATAGATCATTTTTCATAAGATGACTGTTTTCAAATTCACCTGATTTTATTTTTTGCATAAATGATTTAATGAACTGAATATGAAACTGAAAAAAAAAAAAAACACAGAAAAACTAAAACATAAAAATATGTTTTTTCATAACCTGACTGAAAGTTCAAATTAAAAAAAGCATGTCATTTACCTGAGTATGATTGTCTTAAATCAGTTTAGTCATTCAGGTCCTTTCATTGTATGTCCCTGATGATCAAACAGTGTAGATCCAAAGGAAGATGAACAAACAGTGAAAACAATCAGCTTTTGCTCAGTCCTCATCCCATTTCACTCACCCAGCAAGATATTTTGTGGCCTTGATGATATTATATTTTGATGCCTCACACTCCAAACCCCAGTCAGACAAAAATTACTCCAATCATTAATGCTGAGATTTAAACTCTTTTGACTTTTATATATCTGGAAGGCAGTTAGATAAGAAATAGACTTTTGCAGCCCATATTCCATATACACATTGAATTTAAAAATGTATCTCCTTTTAAAAATTCAAAAAATTAATATGACAAATAAACATGTCAGGATGAGTTGTGTGTCCTTGTCATAATTTTGGTAGAAAATAGCTAATTTTAAGATTAGTAAGATGTTTAAAATTGTACCCAAAAATTTTTTGGTCCATGACATTTTTTGACATCATAAAGGTTAAAATATTGCTAAGAGTTGTTAGTGATTCAGTATAACAGAATTCGGCTGCTTTAAGCTTAGTCTCACTCACTGTGCTGCTTGCTAGAAGCTGAATTCAAACATAATACATCCAGATTGTTACCCTATTACCTCACATTAGTTGTTTGATTGTGGTTTGTATAAAATAGTGTTTAAAGAAACTTTATTAGATTCAAATTATTTATATCCAGTATTGACGGCAATATCATAATAAAAATCAACAATGACTGCCTTAATACCCGTGATATATGTAAACAGGAATAAATGGTGAGTATGTACATTGTTCAGCAAATGGTGAAAATGTGAGCTGATATCCATCTGCAGGATGCCTTTGCAAATATTCTTTAAGTTTAGTTCATCTGTTTAGGGAAGATTAAGAGTATTTTCTGTACAGAAACAGACTAAACACGCAGCTCTAACAGATAAACCACTTGGTGTTTTCACAATAAAACAGACTACGTACTGAAGTTGTGATTGGAAATACTGAAAAAAAAAAAAAACGTTTTAGGCAATGGTTTTGTTGCATTATTAGGCAATTATTTATCTTTATCTTACAAGACATTCCTCCAACTAGAAACTAAGTCAAATGTATTTCTAAAGCACATTTCAGGAGCAAGGCAATTCAAAGTGCTTTTCATTATTAAAAACATCAATCAACAAAGTAAACAGCAAATCATCAAAAATTCTTAATCACTCAAAGTGAAATGCCCAACAGCCTGCTTTACTTTCTTTTTTCCATTACTAAAAAGCACTCATGGGTTCCCTTTTCATTATAAAAATATGGATCGGTCAAACATAAGAATTCTTTGACAATAGGAACCTCTACCTGATGCTTGCATCAAAAATGTTTCCCATCTGGCTTCCACAAACGACAACTGGGCCTTTGTCCACAGATGTGTTTACTCATCCTTTCTTTTTAATATAGAGCATATTTAAGGGGTTTCAATAATGGCTGCACAGTTGATCCTGTTGTTGATTTTATCCTTTTTTTAGGGCTTGCAGCAGCACCTCTTTAAGTAGCTGGTGCCACATGTGAACACTTACATACCCTGTGCCAGATCACCTAGCAATGCTGATGTTTAAGTTGTCAGTCATGTCATTCATGACATTCTCTAGTTCAGAATTTGTTGCAATTATCTTTACATTTTTGGAAAAAATTACATTTCATGTTAAAATCTATATGACATGGTAATAATAATCATCAGGAACAAAAATGTTATCTCATCACCTCATGGTCTGCATGGGATCAGAGATTATGACAACCAATATAAAACATTTGGCAATTGTTTTATATTTAGGAAAATATAAAATATAAATCTGTGCACACATGTTATTACATGTGTGATTTAAAGCCAGCAAAGATACTGATGTACATGTAATGGGGACATTGAATTTGGCCTTCTATTATTTGCAAAAAACTGTAAATGTATCAGGAATAGACTTCATCCACAGGACAGCTTGTTTCAAGCACAAAGAATAGTTTTATTTTTTACAAAGGGGGAAAATAAACAAGAAAGCCTTACTAACATGTTGGCTTTCCCTTCATCTAAACCTTTGCTTCTTTCTTTCTTTCTTCTGTAGTAAAGAGTGCCTGGTGAGCTCCTCAGGGAACGACAATACAGAAAATGGACTTTCAGGAGCCAAAGCTGACAACAAAGGGACACCAAAGGCATAAGTGAAATACAAAGATTGTATGTTTGTAAATATGTTACAGAGTTATACACGCTCAAAGAACAAGCTCTTATCAGTGGACTGTTTTATCTTATTAGAGTCTAAATAATGCAACTTCTAAATATCTATTTTAAATCATGCTTAAGATTTGGGAGGTGTGGACTGTGCAGGAATCTGGATCACTCTGTATCTAATGCCAAAGCCCATTAGTCACACAGTGTGCAGCCTGTTCTACGACTCTCATCTGTACCTAACTAAACCCCAAATTGCTGAAGTTTCAGTTAGTCTGTTATTGAATAATTACCTTCCCAAAGTTTTTTTTTTTAATGCATTGCGGCTTGAGTTAATGCTTTTCATAAATGCCATCACTATCATTTATGTGAATCATTTTAAACCACAGATGCACATCAAAACTTGTTATCTTTAAGTTGTTTTTATTATTCAAATACATGTTTGGCTCTACTGTATGTCTGTCAATTGATATTATTACTGTATTTTAGCTTTTGTCAAAATTAGGACCCAGACAAAATTCCTACACAAATTATTTTATGAAAAAGCATAGACCTGCAGAGGTTTAATCGATTAATCTGTACAAAAAATTATTAAGCAAGATTAGAAAGAAATCAAATCATGATCAGTTATTCCAAGTAAATAAAGTAACTGACATAACTATTATATTAGCAAAAAATACGTGATGCTTTGCAAATTAGCTTGCATGTGAGTAATTAGAAAACCATATATTTTTCCTTAAAGTGGCTTTGGATTAAACCTCTGTGATTTCAGTTTTAGTTTTTATGTTTACAGTCCAGTTCAAGCAAGGTAGACATTTTTTGGTTAACTGATGCCAACACAAAGATTGTGACGGTACACCTGGCTAACCACTGTGAACAGCATTTTCTGTGCAACAGACTGATCCAGTTCAACACAGCCACAGGTTTCACAGTCTTGCTTTTGTTAAACACTGGTGCCTGTTCTGCTTCGGCTCCCTCTGCTGACGGGAGGATAAAACTCATAAACGCCCCGACCCTCATAGACAATCCTCTCAGTACCATGGTCCTCATAGAGAGGGATAAACCTAAATGCTGCTGCTTCTTAACAATACTCAATGCAATTTTAGCATGTGTGCATTTTGTATAACCTCATATGAGCATACGCTGCACTTACATACAACAACAGAACAAGTTAAATTGCTGAATTAATCAATTTACACTTAATTGTGCAGAAATTACTAACTTCTGGTTTCCTGTAAAAAACTAAATCAATCTATTAGAGGAGACTTAAGTAAAAAGTTAGAAATTATTTAGAAGATTCATCTTTTAGCTTTAATTTATCCCCAAAAAGAGAACTCAAACAAATGGGAAACACAGCGAATGGTAGAAGCGATGGAATTCCATCAAGAAAAAAATTCCCTGTAAAAGACTAGAATTGGAAAGAAATTAAGTTAAAACATATTTAATTATTTTTTAATTTCATTGGAAGATACATAAACTCAATTCTCGTTCTGAAATAACTGTTTTAATATAAAATAAGGCCTATGGCCTGTTTATCGTGAAGAAAATGTTACTTAGATCTGAATAAAACACTCAAAGGGCCAAGGTTTCGGAAGAGGCACCCTGTTCAGCGAAATGACCCAAAAGGAGACAGTTTTTCAAGTTTTATGTAATTATTTTATGTTACTGTTAGGCTTTATAATTGATTTCTTTTTTATAATTTTGTTAAAATTGTATGTGACATAAAGATATAATGAGAAGGCAGTGACCAAAGAACACAACATGCTGTGTTCAGAATGTACGAAACAGCTGTGGCTTCTCCAGAGGAGGCCAGATCATAATATAGTATCATGTTTGTCAAAATTGACATTATAGAGTGATTGCTCCAAGCTAGTTAATGTCGTGTAAATTTTCTATTTTAGAGTATGCACGCATTCATTTGACATTACTTTGTATCCCTTTTTTTAAATACCAGAACAAAAACAATGATTGACTTTTCTCAAATTTAATACAAAAAATGTAATTTGATTTTGATATAAATATTTCAGCACATGCATTAGTTTTTTTCAAGGTCATATTGCTTAAAACATTATACTTTTTTTGCAGTTCTGTTCATTAACGATGTCAGTTAGTTAAGTAATCTTAGATAGGCTTTTAAGGCTGCAGTGTGCTGCTAAACATAAAGAAGACTTTTAGATGCCAGCTGTAGTTTTGGAACAGCAATGGGTGGGAGATAGGTGGTACTTTTTCTTTCTTACCATGAGTGTCCTTCACTTTTGCAAAAACAAGTATTAAAAACAACAAATTATGCTTTCTAGTAGACTACAGAAAAATGTAGAAGCTATATTTTAGCAAGGTGTCAGAGCACAGCAACAATGCTGTGATATCTTATGTCCTATATAGCCATTTTAAGGACTTTAAACCATAAGAACATATGATCGAATATTTTGATTATTTTGAAATGTAGCTAATAAAAGAAACTGATACTAGTAATCAGTCCTTGCTTAATGCCCACTGTCTAATTTAGTGTAGATTAGTGCCAATAAATGTCCTTGGCCATTAGCTTACATGCTTAGATATTAGACATGCTAAGAAGTTTGCTTTCAGTTTAGAATTGTTATTTCATTGAGAGCAGTAAAAGTACAGCAACCTTTTAGGAGTGGATTTTGTATAAAATTTGAACATAAAAAACAAAGAGAAACAAAAAACATGCATGTTAAAGCATGCTTGCATCAAATAACATGAAGAATTCCCACTGTATTGTCAAAAACATAACAGAAAAAGGCCGCTGGACAAACAGTCACAACTTCAACAACCGAAAGCCGCATGCATATAGAAATCCATCCCTAAAAAAGACATCACAGACACTTTGATACTAAAAGATTGTAGACTGGCCTTTCAAAGAAACAACAGAGCACTTTATTAAAGTTAAAAACAACTTTGTAAAAAGTCATAAATGATACTCATAGTTTTTTCCCCAAAAATGTTATTTGAATTGTTTTCAAATTCTTTATTGTACCAGTCTTTTACTCTCTTCAATGAGAGTGCCCCTCTTGCTTTCAATGGAAGCAATAAGGCAGACATCAGATTATGCAATAACCTGTTGTAAGGCACTTTACTGATGTGTCTCGATTGGGAGGCAGCTCCGTCTGTCCAAGGCACATCTCATCATACAAATGTTGTATGCTTTCTGACCTAATGTACTGATATGAGCATTTAATAGCTCAACCAAGTTGAGCTATCTGTGCTTGATATCAGAAGCTGCGTTCCATTTACACTTGGCATGAAAAATTAACTGTGCAGATTCAAAATCTATAATCAGCCTTGTGACCAAGTAATGTAATAAAAAAAACTCTTATTGTTTTTTTTAGACTTGGAATTGATATGAATTAAAATCTAATAATTGGACTGTGTTACATGTACAGCTGCAGAGTAAATGGCTTAAAAAGAGCTAACTGAAATCTGATTGCATTTTTGTTCCTACATACTGTAACGCCACACAAAGCAACCAATGCCCTGCTCTTGATGTTATAAATGAATTTGTTTCATTTACCAGCAACTCCTCTCATTGATGCAGTTAGCATTCCTACTATCCAACTCAGTCTTGTTATATGCCATTTAAGCTGTCGAGAGGATCCTGTTTGGCAATGTGCAATGCTGTAAATTAAGAGGACTTTTGGTTGTCGTGAATGTCTCGAGGACACAGATGTGTTCACTTGAATACCATCTGGATAAATGTGTCTCTTACTTTTCTAAATGAGGTCAGACAATTAGATTTCATTCAGAAAATGAATGCAACACAGATGCTTCAAACACATGAAATGAAAAAGAGTGGAACAGAAATGGTTCAAGTGGTTACTCCCTTGACAATTTTAAGTACCTTCTGTCTTTACAGTGGATTTATTTTGCTTAGTGTAAATGGATAGCGAAAGGATTTATATTCTTAGAGCTAAAGTGAAGCTGGGTATAAGCCTGTAGGAACAGGTAATAATGCAATGACAGTGTTGTAAGTGACATTGTCTTTAATACGCTCAGAAATGTGAATATTAGGGATGCTCTGCTGATACACATACGAACATCCAGGCACAAATGTAAAACTCTTCCTTTACAGATCCCTAAACAAAAAAAGGTGCACATTTACATCCAATGTCTTCCTGTGAGTGAAAGCAATACTGGGACTTGATGTGTTTGTTAATGTAATGTCCGGACCTCTCATTAGAATTATGGTTAGAATATGTGTTTCTCACAAAAAGACTGTTGTTCTAGATGTTCTGTAATTCAGGGTTTCTGCAAGTTTTAGTATTAAATATAACAATTTAAGGGTTTTAGGATCTCTTTGATGTTAATTTCAGTTAATAGGGAAACTTGTTTTTTTTTACAGGTTTTAGCCAATCTGTTTTTGATTTTTTTTTTTTGTAAGATGGACTCCATCAATATAAACTCTTTCACAAGCATATTTCTTTTACAATTTTTAATTTTTCAGGGCTAGCTAGATGCCAGTCAGTAATGAATGTCCGTCATGGCTATCCTGCATTATGATCCTTATGATAGCATCAAAGAATAATAACGCCATAACTTTTTATCAAAACTAAAACAAAAAATGGAAAAAAAAATCTAGACAATAAAGAAAAAAAGAGACCAAGTGGAAGAAACATTAAATTTATATTTGGAGCCTATGAATAACAATCTGTAAAATGTATTAAGGTTCAAAATACAGAGTATTAAATTGAAGTCATTTTGTAAACTGCAGAAACCCTGTAACCTTTAACCTTGTTTCTTTTCCCAAATGAACATTGTCAACTCCAACAAACCAAGCTTTGTTTGTTCATGTGCATGAAGTGGTTTTAGAGTTGCTCTGATTAAGCAAGACAAAATCACACTTCCTGCTTTAAAACTAGTTCTGATTTATGAGGAACTCTGTTTATATCTGTAATTTGTGTCAATCTCCTCAGTTCCATCAGCTTTTTTATCTTCACTTGTGTATTTTTGTATTATTATTTGTGTTTTTGAGATGTTTTCACACCTCCTGATAGGATAGTAGAATTCTGCAGAGGTCAGCTACCTGCTGATACTGACTGATCTGGTACAGCATGTGCCCTAAACTCGACTTCTGCAGTGGTGTAATAGAGCCCAACAAAAATATGATTGCCACCTAGTGGCAGATAAATGCATAACCTAACTCCATCTTTGGCAAGTCAATGTAATACACATTTAATGCATCTTAATGAGCAAGATGCATTTAATGTATCTTAATTAGCAAAATTAGGATTGCAGCATGTAGGAAAAAAGCTGTCATTTATATTGTAAGCAGAAATTTATGTTTAATTATTATCTATGTAATAAGATCACTAACTACTTCCACCACAGTGCACAGCTATATACAGTGTTGCATTTATTGCTATTGCTTTGTGTAATGACTCAAGTTAGAGCAAAAGACAAAAAACATCACTTTTTTTCTTTGCCAAATTAAAGTGATATTCATATTTTTAAAAAGGCAAAATGTTTAAGTTTACAGCAAATCTATAAGAGAGTAAAATGCATCAGTTTCTACAAATGTTGGACCATTGGCAAATTGCTGCCATTTGACAGCTAAGAGTGAGAAATGTGGATTTATAAACAGCTTGGGAGTCACTGCATAAACCAAGTGACATGAGTTCTGAGTGACCACTGTAATTCCATAGAGTTAGTATCGCTCTTACTGCCAGAGCAGCTGAAACTCATACTGCCAGTCCAAGAGTCTCACGTCTGCTATTGTTACATCGCTACTACTAGAACACAACTCTAAAAACTTGTCTTACTCGGTCGAAAACTCACTGTAATTCTGTCAGCTTCTGTATTGTATTACACGCATTGTCCAGTACAAACTGCTGCAGTTTGAGCAGGTGAAAGTCTCACTGCCAAGCCAAAAGTCTGACATCTATTCTCTGCCTCCCACATTCCACTTTAGAGCTGCAAAGATAAGTCAGTTAATCCATTCATTAATGGTGACAAAAGAGAAACTGCCAAACATTTTAATTTGTC